CACACACACACACACACACACACACACACACACACACACACACACACACACACACACACACGCACACATTTTTTATTTTTTTTTTAAATATTAAAAGTGAAGTCCATATTATTTATAGTTGTGCCGGTTTCATACAGACATGTTAACCCTTTTTTCCCATTTTACTTTTTGAGATAAGGTGTTAGAGGTTGGAGCGAGAGTAAGATGTAGTCTCGTCTTACATATTGATTCTGAATATTTAAAACAGTTTCAATACTCTTGTCCGCAGCATCAGTACACCGCTAACAGCTGCTCTTTCCCACTCTCTCTTATTGTTAATCTTTACTGCGATCATTTAGCTGCTCTCTGCTACTAACCAAGAAAAGTCTTTGTGTGTTTGTCATGTCATAGCCTTGTTATATTTATCTTTCAATTAGGGGTGGGCAATCTGGCCGTAAAATAATGTCAATGTTTTGCAATTACAATATTCTTGATATGACAAATTAGTAGCGAAAAAAAAGTATTTATTTCTGAAAATAAAATTGTCACAAAATAAGTGATATTGTTTTACATGTTAACCTAACAGTTTGCCTTCAAATATTCAGTAAAAACTAAACAAAAGTTATTTCTTATTTCTTTAGTTTGTGAACATCAACAGTAACTCAGAGTGAGATTCAAATTCTGTATACAATATTCATAGTTCAGCAAAATGAAATCTACCACAAATTAGACAATAAACAGTTTCCAAATACAAAAAAATGTACAATGTACCATTTTTTTTTCTCTTTTAGCAAAATCTAAAATGTGTTGTTCTTTTTTTTTTTTTTTTTGGCCCACCTGGACCTTTATGCTCTGCCATTTCTCCTCTAATCATCACGCTGTACCCTGTGACAAGCTGTTTTGATACCAGAACTATTGCATACTCACATATGTGTCGTTTTTTGTGGAGCCGCGAGCATCACGTAGGTTTATGTTACCAAAGGTTTATGACAATCACTTGATGACTTGACTTCTGTGTGCACACTGCAAGAGAGGAGAGGAGGAGACGCTGTGCTGCTGCCAGAGGAGCCGCTGATTGAGTTCCCTCTGAGGGGTAACTCGCTAAAAGAGTCTGAGAAGTCTGGGGCTGTTCATAAAACATTCAGGATGCCACAGTTTATTCCACACTACTGAAGCTGCTCCCCTTTTGGAACCATTGCAGAGTCGGTAATAATTTCCATTTCAGCCATGCTTATTTTTTCCGTGGGTAACTGTATGACGTCAATATGTCAACAAGTCAAAATATCACGATCACAATATGAATTTTTCATATCAAAAAAATCTAAAAAATTATACTGGTATAATCGTGAATGAGATGATATGGCACACCTATTTTTTTTAAATATTTTTTTTGGTGTATGGCCTCTTTCAAATTTTCCATGTTTTGTTGAAAATGATACAGAATATTGATATTTTCAAGGTTATGTATCGAAGTTACAAGTTCCAGTATTGTGAGAGTAGCCTATCCATGAACTATAGCTTTTTGAACAGAAAAGGTCACATTGTTTGTGACATTTAGTTTGACATGGTCCTTATTAAATGGGAGACTTTTTTTTTTTTTCTTACAAAAAAACAAGGCTTTTCTTGTTGACCTTCGTGTGAGAGATAAAGACAGTGCTGGTTCATGAAACAACATATAGACTATGAAGAATGTGTATCGTATTGATGCATCATGTCCTGTGGTTTTGATCTCTAATCACGGTGACGTTAGTTAAGCTGCTAAACAGACTAATGAGAGATGCTCATGCTTCATTGTTTTGTATTTTAATTGTTCATGAGTGATGACTGTTGGTGATGTAATGGAGGGTGTATGCAGGTATACAGGGTATACCCACCTCTTTTCTGGCCGTGCACAGTATACTCATCTTTAGGCTTAAAAGTCATTGGAATATGTAGAAAAGTATAGCCACTTCCTCCTCAGTAACCTACCCATCTACATAGTAGCACACCCACCTCATCATCTACCAATGCACCACTGATTACTGTGCATTTTTGTCAGGCAGGCAGAAACACTCAGTAGGCAGATGTTGAGAACCCTTACGCTATACATTCTGATATGTGTAGGCAATGCGGTGCAGGCTGTGTGAGCAGCTTAATGCTAATTTTTCTTTTCGACATAAATTAGTCTCCTAATACTTATTTATGTCTGATTAGGCTGAGCACAAACATCTATGTTAAATCAAGGTAATTACTGTAATTTTCATTTCTTTTAGCACTCTAAACACGCTGAAGCTCCCACTGCTCTGCACCCATGTTTGCTGACTGCTTTTGGTTTTGACTCATATAATGGATTGTCCAATGGAATGAATACCGGACTGAGAAATGTATGTGGGTGTAAATATGAGCTATTTGTATTTCAGTGGCTTGTCATTTGTTTACCTGAGTACAGAGAGACAAATTGCTGTCAGCTTCGGTTGATGTGGCAATAAATGAGTGGAGAATCCTGAAAGCCATTGGACCTTTTGTGATAGTAGACACAGCGTGTAGGATGGTGTTTTATTCTGGAATAGCTATTTGCTACATTAACACTGATGCCTTGGTGTACAAATCTGCATTGTAGAAGATAAAGACAACAAAGACTTTACCCTATGGTTTTCCATAATGGATTGAAGGAATGCAGCATTTGATTCCTGCATACATAGAATATTGTATTGCAAATAAGCCTCAGTTTTTAGGTTCCATCTAAAGAATGCGTTTTATTTTTAGTGTAAGCAAATGGCAGCTGGGTGATTACAGTTAGTGTTTTTATATATCTTGTATGTTTAATGACATTAACATTTTCATTACTTGCATGTTCTTTAAGATTAAAAGCACTTCCTTTACTCTAAGTTAAAGATCATTTTAAGGTTTATAGACACCTCACGGATGACAAAGAGCCGCCCTGCTAACATTTGGTGTTGATCACTTGTCGACAAGTTTTAAAACCAAGAAAGATGAGCTCAATAAAAACTTAATGAGAGTTTTGAGGGTGGATGGACCTTTTTCTTTGTTCTTTATGACACAACAGCATAAACCATAAAACAGACAGCCAAGTTATCAACTGTTTCCTTTACTTTAAGCTCTTTCCTTGGAGTACATTTCAGATTTTGATCGAATTTCTAAAGAATGACCGTTACCCACTAATCCACTTTTCTCTCTCTTCACTTCCTGACTCGGGCCCCTGAGGTTTGCCCTGAGGGAGCATAAAAGTCAATCAAGTGGCTTTAACTATAGGGAGGTGGTTCCTGTGGGACCATAAAGACCAATAAAATGGCCAGGAAGTATTGAGAAAAA